TCCAGTTTTAGCCGCTGCTGAAACTGACCAGCGGCTGACTACAGGAAGCCCCAGGCAGAGTTGCTCTGCCGCGGGCTTCCTGGAATCAGCCGCTGATCAGTTTCAGCAGCAGCTGACTTGGGGATGCCTGGGGTTCTTAAGTTGAACCTGTATGTAAGTCAGAGCTGGTGTCCAGATTCAGCCGCTGTTAAAACTGATCAGTTTCAGCAGCGGCTGAATCTGGATGCCAGTTCCGACTTACATACAGTTTCAACTTAAGAACAAACCTACAGTCCCTATCTTGCACGTAACCCGGAGACTGCCTGTATAACCCATGTCTGTAGTTTTTGTGGGGGGAGGGAGGGATAGTCAATTTTGAACGTGGTTGCAAGGTTTCATTCATATAGAACATAATACATGGCGAGAGACAAAGCCTGGTGAAGTCATTGGATAGATTCTCACTGATTTTAATGGTATTGGGATGAGGCTCATAATACAAACATAGCAATGGAATAGGCACAGGATGCAGCCAATCGTGCTGTAGCAGAGCAGCAGACAGCACCGCCTGGAGTTCTGAGTTCACCTCCTGGTGATGGCACGTGGCGATCATGACTAGGCCCCTGATAAGGTATGTGAAGGGGTTGTCAGCAAGAATCTGTTTCTACTGGGATACAATCTCAGCTGTCTGGCCCCATCTGACACACACCAGCAAAGCTTGCGCCATGTTGTGTGTGATGCTCCTTGGCAGAAGGACAATTGTGACTGCCAGCATGAGACAAAGAGGAAGGAAAAGTAGCAACAGTGGAAGCTGGGTGGGGTATGGTGCTGTTCCAGGTCCAAGAGCTATCTGGCTATTCCTTTCACTGGCTCCTTGGCCATAAAGAGAAGTCTCTAGTCAAGTGGGAGAGGCTTGTCATAAAGAGTGGAAGGGTCATGGCAGACTAGCAGAATTTTTATGCCCTATAAGGGCTGCTGCCCACCATGAGGATATGGGACCTGCTAGCTAGAGGAGTTACAAGAGAAGTCTGTGTTTTTAGAGGCACCAGGTGCTAGTCCTGACTCCACAGGTGTGTATTTTACCTACGTCAGTAACCGAGTATTGATTGCAGACATGAATAACTAGAGGGCTTCTGCGCAGTAGGTCAGGAGTGTTGTTCAAATGGACATAGGACCCTCTTCTACCCTTTTCAAGCATTAATGTTGCTGTGGTATGGGCTCTTCTTCCTCTGATCCTCAATCAGGTTGTGGCCCTACAATGGGCACCTAAGGGTGAGTTCATTGATGGGTTCTGACTTTCTCTGCTCACCATCAGGGCAAAATCCATTCAGGGAATTTTCATATTTTCTTTGGAAAGTTGCAGTTTTTAAAAAGTCATAGTAAAGGTTGGAAAGAATGTAAAATCATAGTATGAGACAGGTGCTCTAAGCAAAATGCTCTGATTCTCATTTAGGTCTATCTACATTGGGAAAAAAAGTGAGTTCTTAACTCACATTTCCTACCCTCAGTTCAAATAGCAGTAAAGAAGCAGCAACTCAGCTTTTAACTCAGCAGCTCCAGCAGCCTGGGGTTTAATTCAAGCTGCTAAACAAAGTTAATGGTTGAGTTGCAGGGTCTTCACTGCTACATTGGTTGACCCTAATTAAGGACATAGCTTTTTTTGCAGTATAGCTATATCCTCAGACTAAGGACCTTTTGCACTGCTCTGGCTGTGCAAAGGGAACTGAAAGCTGTGAAAAGGAATGGGATTTGGGCCCATAATAATAATAACTAAACAAAGCAAAAATGATTTTGTGAATGACTCAGCCAGGTTTTCCTGTGAAATACATACAGATCTTTTTAACAGTAAACCACTACGGGAATAACAAGTCCCAGAGGTGTCAGTCTGTAACTTTAAAAACAACGAGTAGACCTGTGGCACCTTAGGGTATGTCTATGGGGGGGGGGGGGTTATTTTGAAATAAGGTGAGCATCCACAGTACGAGTACACCTACACTGCGGCGCTATTTTGGGATACCAGAGCTATTTCTTGTCTTTTGAACCAGCCCATTATTTTGAAATAGATTTCAAAATAACAGGCTTGTTATTCTGATGTCCCTGTAACCCTCATTCCACGAGGGTTGAGACACATTTTGGAATAGTGGTTTATTTTGATACTCAATTTGCATAGCTCAAACTGCATATCTTATTTCGACCTATGGGTGCAGTGTAGATGCACCTTATAAAGCCTGTTATTATGAAATAATAACTCCCATATGTGAAGAAGAAGAATCTTATTTCAAAATAGTTATTTCAGGAGCCATTATTTTGAAGTAAGCTATTTCAAAATAACCTGACATAGTGTAGACTAACAAAAATATAGAATCAGCTTTTGTGGGTAAAACCCACTTCATCAGATGAGTTAAAGTGGAAATAACAGAAACAGTACAGGAATGGAAAGTTTGATTACAAAGACTACCCTTAAGTATGTGCAGAGGGAATCTATTTTACTGTGATATACAGTCATATATGTTTTAGCAGGCAATCAACTGCACTTTAATTCCCTCCCCTCTATGGTTATCAGCTTATAGAGGAGCTACTACTGCATGGAATGTACTGAGGATAATTGTTCCATGTGTAGAAAGATTTCTACTCTTCAGGTGGATTGATATGCCCAGCTGTTGCATATCAATACCTTGCATTTGCTCTCTGCTGAGCATTAGCAAGCAATTGGCATGTAGAAAAAGTAGGGTACACACTCAAGTCTTTGCAGTATTGGAGCCCATATTTAAAAGGGTGAATAAAGAGGACCTGGGGAGTTATAGACCAGTCATCTTTACTTCAATACCTGTTAAGATACTGGAACAAATTAATATTAAAACAATTAAACAACCCATTTATAAGCACCTAGTGGTTATAAGGAATAGCCAGAACGGGTTTGTCAAGAACCACTCATGCAAAACCAGCCTAATATCCTGCTTTCAGAGGGTTACTGGCTTAGTGGATGGGTCAAAGCAGTAGATATGATAGATCTTGATTTTAGCAAGGCTTTTGATACAGTTCCACATGTCATTCTCATAAGCAAACTAGGCAAATGGGGACTGGGTGAAATAATATAAGGTAGGTGCACAGATGGTTGAAAGGTAACAGTAGTTATCAGTGGAAAGCATATTTTGTGAGACCAGAGAGAGGTCAGTCCTGACTCTGGTACCATTCAATATTTTAATTAATGACTTGGATAATGAACTGGAAATTATGCTTACATAACTTAAGAACAGTCACACTGGGTCAGACCAAAAGTCCATCTAGTCCCGTATCCTGTCTGCCGACAGTGGCCAAAGCCAGGTGCCACGGAGGGAATGAACAGAACAGGCCACATCAAATGATTTATCCCCTGATATCCACTCCTAGCTTAAAGTAAACAGAGGCTAGGGACACTAAGGGCATGCTGTTGCATAGCAGACTATCCTGACTAATAGCCATTGATGGACCCATCCTCCAGGAATCTAATTATTTTTTGAATCCTGTTATAGTTTTAGCCTTCACAACATCCCTTGGCAATGAGTTCCATGGATTGACTGTGTATTATGTGAAGTCCTTTTTCACATAATACACTTGCTGCCTATTAATTTCATTCGGTGACCCTAGTTCTTCTGTTATAAGGAGTAAATAATTTCATTTTTCACTTTCTCCACACAAGTCATAATTACAGTTTTACTCTTGACAGAATTTATGCTCCTATTTTCCTCAGTAGGATTGAACTCCCAATTTTTAAAGAATGCCTTTTTGCCTCTAACCAGCTACTTTGTTGCTTAGCCATGGTGGCACTTTTTTTTTTTTTTGCTCTGTTTTTTTTTTCAATTTGGGGGTATACATTTAATTTAAGCCTCTCTTATGGTGTTTATTAAAAGTTTTTATGCAGTTTGTGGGCATTTCACTGTTTATAAAAACTTCAGGTGACATCAAGGTGGAAGAAGATGAAAAGTACCAATTTTTAAATCTTTGGTACTTTTTCCATTTTAAAATATGGAAGCTGTTCCATACCCTTCATTATTTTTGTTGCCCTTCTCTGTAGCTTTCCAATTCTAACGTATATTTTAGAGATGAGGCACCCAGATCTGCATGCAGTGTTCAAGATATGGACGCATCATAGATTTATATAGTAGCAATATGATATTTACTGTCTTATTATCTATCCCTTTCCTAATAATTCACAACATTCTGAAGGCTTTTTAAATCATTGGACACAGAATGGATGATTTCAGAGAACTATCCACAATGACGCCAAGATCTCTCTATGGTAACAGCTTACTTAGCTCTCATCATTTGGTATGTATGGTTGGGATAATGTTTACCAACGTGCATTACTTTACATTTATCGACATTGACTTTCATCTGTCATTTTGTTGCCCAGTCACCCAGTCCCTTTGTAACTCTTCACAGTCTGCTTTGTACTTAACTTGAAGTAATTTTGTATCATCTGCAAATTTGCCACCTCACTGTTTACCCCTTTTTCTAGGTCACTTACGACTATACTGAACAGCAGTAATCCCTAGTATAGAACCTTGGGTGAACCTGCTATTTACCTCTCTCCTTTCTGAAAAATTACCATTTATTCCAATTACCATTTATTCCAACCCTTTGTTTTCTATCTTTTAACCAGATACTGAACCATGAGAGGACCTTCTCTATTATCCCATGATTGATTACTTTGCTTTGGAGCCCTGTGATGGGGTATATCAACCTCGCACTGAGGTCGAAGAGGATCACCTGGCCCAGCTGGCTGACAAAACTCCACCCCCAGAGCCCTGGTGGGTGTGCTCCAATTGGAAGCTGGCTATAAAAGCCTTTGGAGCAGCTCATTCCTCCTGGGAAGAAGACGCAACCAGACCAAACAGTGGCAGCCAGGCTGAGAGGGGCAGCAGTAGAAGCTTCTGGACCAGAGTGTGAAGATGGTGAGGACTTCTTATAAGGACAGAGTAGGAAGTAGCCTTGGATGGGGAATTGCTCCCTGAGGGCTCGTGTGTTGTGTTGGGATTCCCTGCCCAGTTAGCAGTAGATCACTCCACTGTGACAGAGACCTGGGCTGGGACCCAGTGGTGAGGGAGGGCCCGTGTGCCCCTAAACCGCCTCCCCCAGATACTCCTGCGTGCAGGAGCTTTGTCTATTTTATTGGGACTCTGTGGCCATTGGGCTATACTACCCTGATACCAAAGGGACTGTATAAGGACTCAAAGGCCGCTGGGCTGGACTGTGTATAAACTCTGAGGTCGTTGGGCCATACTGTGTATGAACTCTGCAACTACTGAATTGTACTACCCTGAATATTCGGGGATTGCATGAGGACTCAGGTCACTGGGCTGTACTGTGTATCAGTTCTGTGGCCAGGCCTTGTTGCCCTGAACACAAAGGGGACTGTTTGGACTCTGTGGCTGCTAGGCCATACTGCCTTGAGTGCAAGTCACAGTACATAGACTTTGTGGCTGATAGGCCACCCTATCTCAAACGGGAGTTCGAGGAGCTGAAGTGGACTTTCCTTGCCCTCTCTGGTGGGCAGACAAGGCGCCCCTCGACAAGCCCTGAGTGAGTGATCCTTGTTAAAGACTTTCTGAAAGTCTAAGTATATTTTATCCACTGGATCAGCATTGTCCACATTCTTGTTGATCCCCTCAAAGTATTTTAATAGATTGGTGAAGCATGATTTCCTTTCACAAAAGCCCTCCAAATAATTGTGTTCATCTATGTGTCTGATAATTCTGTTCTTTACTTTAGTTTGAACCAATATTCCTGGTACTATAATTAGACTTACTGGCCTATAATTGGAAAGATTGGTTCTAGAGCCTTTTTAAAATATTTGTCATCTCATTAGCTTATCATCCAGTTATCTGGTATAGAAGCTGATTTAAATAATAAGCTGTATATCACAGTTAGATGTTATGTAATTTAATATGGAGTTCCTCCAGAATTCTTGGAGTGACATATTACTCTTTATATCAATATGTTCCAAAATATCCTCTACTGAAAGCTCAGGCTTGGTCAGTTCCTCAGATTTGTCACCTAAAAATAATGGATCAGGTGTAAGACTCTACCTCACATCCTGCAGTGAAGACTGATGCAAAGAATTCATTTTCCACAATGGTCTTAACTTACTTGAATGTTCCTTTAGCTCCTCAATCAACTAGTGGCTCCACTGATTGTTTGAAATGATTCCTGCTTCTGATGTACTTTTAAAAAAATCGTTGTTAACAATTATACTTTTACATTTGATTTGTCAGAGTTTATTCTCCTATTTTCCTCGGTAGCATATGACTTCCAACTTTTAAAGGATGCCTTTTTGCTTCTAACCATTTCTTTTACTTTGTTGCTAAGCCATAGTAGCACATTTTTGGGCTTCTTGCTATTTTTTTTCAATGTGGAGTATACATTTAATTTGAGCCTCTCTTATAGTGTTTATTAAAAGTTCTCATGCAGTTTGCAGGCATTTCACTGCTTATAAAATCTGCAGGTGACATCAATGTGGGAGGTGTTGCAAGCGCTTTGAAGGACAGGATTAGAAATTAAAATGACTTTGACAAATTAGAGAATTGGTCTGAGATCAATAAACTGAAATTCAATAAAGAGAAGTTCAAAGTGCTTCATTTACGAAGGAAAAATCAAATTTATGAACACAAAATGGGGAATAACTGTCTAGGTGGTACTTCTGCTGAAAAGGACGCAGGGCCATAGTGGATCATAAACTGAATATGAATCAACAATGTGATGCAGTTGCAAAGAAGCCTGATGTCATTCTGGGATGTATTAACTCGAGTGTCATATGAAAGACAGAGGAGGTAACGATCTTGCTCTACTTGCCATAGGTGAGGCCTCAGCTGGAGTACTATGTCCAGTCCAGGGTGCCACAATTTAGGAAAGATGTGGACAAATTGGAGAAAGTCCACAGGAGAACAACAAACATGATGACAAGTTTAGAAAACCTAACTTATGAGGGAAGGTTAAAAAACTGGGCATATCTAGAAAGAAGACAAAGGAGGGACCTGCTAACAGTCTTCAAATATGTTAAGGGCTGTTGTAAAGAAGACAGTGATCAATTGTTCTCCATGTCCACTAAAGATAGGATGAGACATAATGGGCTTAATGTGCATCAAGGGAGATTTAGATAGATGCTAGAGAAAAACGTTCTAACTATAAGGGTAGCTAAGCTGTGGAATAGGTTTTCCAGGGAGGTTGTGGAATTGCATCATTAGACATGTTTAAGAACAGGTTGGACAAACAGTTGTCAGGGATTGTCTTGCTTTATTTTGGTCCTACTTCAAGGCAGGGGTCTAGACTTAATGATTTCTTAAGGTCCTTTCCAGCCCTACATTTCTAGGTGTTTATGTAACCAATTCTAGACAACCCTGTTTGAAAGGTAAAAAAATCACAAAACCCCTTAACACAATTATCCCAGGAACCAGACATTGTAAATCATAATTATTATTGTAATTGTCATAATCATCATCACTCTGACTTTCACTAACATCCTTGCATTGAAGAAAATTTGATGCAGGCTGTTCCCTTTACAGGTGAGAAGTGGATGTCTAATGTTTTCAATTTTGTGGGAGCATGAACTATGCACACAGCCCCAGCAATTGGAGAGACAGGCTACATTTACATTAATAGGCCTTATTCTTTATCATATTACACTCATTGCCCCCAGCATAAACCTGGAGTAAGGCAGTGAAGAATAAGACCCATTGTTTGTAAAATGATTTGAAACCCACGGAAGTGCTAAGTATTATCACCCAAAGGAAGCCAGGGCTAAGGTCAATTCATACATGTGCACAGCCATATATGATCAGATTTCGGACCCTCACTTCCCTGCTAGGAATATCACTGAAATAAATAACCTAAAACTGATGCATCTGCCCTGTTGGAGGTTTAAATCAGTTTTCTTTCTTTCTTTCTTTCTTTCTTTCTTTCTTTCTTTCTTTCTTTCTTTCTTTCTTTTTCTTATGAAATAACAAAAAATTGCTTATCAGATAATGAAATCCTAGCTGTGGTCAAATCTTTCAAACATCCAGGGCCTTGATTTAATTGGAAGTAATTATAGTCTTTTCTGAAGTATAATTATAGGGTATTTTTTCCCTGACATTTACAGTGTGGAAATTAAAAACAAAATGATGTCAGAATCAAAAGATTTTAATCTGTCTTCAAAGAATAATCTGGGCTAGTGTCAGAGGTTTGTCCTTGGATGGGGGAGGGAGAATTCTCTGAAGAAAATTCTCTGGCAATAGGTGGCTAATACAGTAGTACTTAACTGTGGGGTTTTTGTACCGAAACAGAGAAATTCCTGAGGGATTTTTTTTTCTCCGAGTTTATGGAAAATCTCCTGTCTTTACACTGGGGGAAAAGGTAAGGCTGTTCTATGCTCCTGAGACTGGTGAGTTTATTATGGTAATGTGAGATGTAACTACAGGCAGTCCCTGGGTTACGTATAAGATAGGGACCGTAGGTTTGTTCTTAAGTTGAATTTGTATGTAAATCGGAACTGGCGTCCAGATTCAGCCGCTGCTGGAACTGATCAGTTTCAACAGCGGATGAATCTGGACGCCAGTTCTGACTTACATACAGATTCAACTTAAGAATCCCAGGCATCCCCAAGTCAGCTGCTGCTGAAACTGATCAGCGGCTGATTCCAGGAAGCCCCGGGCAGGGTATTCCTGTAGTCAGCCACTGGTCAGTTTCAGCAGCGGCTGACTTGGGGACGCCTGGGGCAGAGCAGCTGGGCCCCTAGCTGCGCCCC